CCCTTATTTTAGTCAAAACCGGTAATATAAATGATTAAACAGGGTACTAGATGGGTATTAGAGACCTTTTTCCCTATATTTAATAATCAAAACTAATAAGTGTGCTGCTGTTAAAAGGCCTTTTAAATCGCTCCTTTATTAACTCGTCTAACTAATAATTTTAATGGCCTTTTGGATTATTTTATCCTGTTTTAAGTTATCATCACTGTTGTGAGACTCTCACCGTTTGATGTTGAGTGTAGGCTTTGTTACTCTATTTTATTATGGTTTTAGAGTTGTAAATATTTGGACGCCTATTTGATACATGATGGTGGGGGGGTGGGGGTGGGGAGAGGTTCAAACACTAATACTGCGCCTCAACTAGATATCCTTCATTATTAAATCCGCAGCAGATTTTTTAGTAATTTTTAATGTAAGCTTGAATATTAGCACATCAGGCTATCCAGGGGACGCTATGAGACTTTCCATTCCACCACGATGCGCACATCCTAGACGAAGGTATGTTGCGCAATTGAAAGAACACAAAGTTTGTTACGTACCTGTGGGACGTCTTCCTGCAATGCTGTGACCCAAATCGGCACTGTCACCCTGTGATCGCAATATTTTACTGACTTTTGTGCAGCGTTGCGAGTCTTTCCTGCAATAGTAAGAAGTCAAAGTACTGTGAAATGGAAGGCTATTAGCATGGCCCGTAGGTGGGCAGCGGCGCAGGGTGGAAGTACAATCTGCCCAGACTCAGGGGCCAACGTAGTTAAAGACGTTAGCACATCACTATACCAGATAGGAGTTGAGCTATCCGATATTACTTGAGGGTAATCAACTGCAGATGGTGGAGAAAATTCGCATTTTGCTCTTCCTTTAAAATATGTGTGATATAGTTGTAGCGCCCCCGACTTCCCTAAAAAAGGAAGGAACATAAAAACTCGGGCAGAACAGGTATTGTTCACACAGGGAAGGGATCGGGCAACTGGTGTGGCCCAGAAACTAGCCTACCCGACAAAGGTACAATGGCCCTTTACTGAAATCGTGAATTTTACAAACAATCAACATCGTCCCCGACGCTTCCCGTGGTCAACCTCCAGTGTTAGTCATCACAACATTGTCGGTGCAGTGAAATGATGCCCACTAGCCAACTGTGGCAGCCATCGAATTTCCATGCAACGGAGGCGATACTTGATCACCACGTCATTGATCCATCTTGGCAGTTCTGCTGAATCTGGAGATTTATCCTTTATGGGAACTGTGGTGGGGATGGGGAAATGTACTGTCCATCACGTATGCCCATTACTAGTCGTACGAATACCGGTCTAAAGGCGAAGTCATGTAATAGGGGACGGGAAGGGACTTAGTTCCTTAAGCCCAGAGTTTCATTTCCTTTCCTCCTTGCCGCTTTGTTCTCACTTCCGAGCTGCCCGGACAGACAAGTGGAGGAGGTATCGCTAGGTTACATAATTGATATCTTCACACAGGAACAGCAGACAGCTACGTAAGGAACTAATGCAGGTGGTTTACGGCCAATGTCACTTCAATTCCTAACAACTTCCCTTCAGGACACAGGACTGGGGTGGTTGCCAAAGGTAGACGTCAATTCCATCCGTTTTATTAGGAGTTGTCACAGACTCTCCCACCCGCAGCATACGCACTCATTTAGCTCCACTACTGTTTGTCACCCAGAATTGATATCTTTTGAGAGTGGGTTCGCTTTCCGCTGACACCAATGCAGTGCCCCAAGAGTCACCTAAACACGAAAGAAGAAGAGGAGAACGCATACATTCGCTGTAGAGAAGGGATGGGTGGTTACTGCCATGGACCAAATGCTAGCCCAACCGGCGAAGGCACGGCCAAGACACAAAGTGCTCTTTTATCAACCCAAAAATAAAGCATTCTAACTCATGAAGAAAAATGAGTGGCGTTTTTGCGAAATTATTTTAAACTAGAAATGTTGGGAGGGGACTTTGTGTAACACAGAAGTAATTATAAGGAAAAAGTACAACCTTGATAGAGTACTGGGAGGACGGGCAGGTAAGGCTAGGAACATAAATATCACGTCGAGGACTCTACAGCATTAATTATGAGGCCACCTTTTAAAAGTACCAAATATTTAGAGCCCTCCAAACACCTAAAATCATTCAGCTAAAGCGGGTGGAAGGGTGCATTTAAACACATTTATTCGCCAATAAACTTGCTTTATTTGTATTTTTAAGTGGTTGATCTTCTTTTTGTATTTTAGGGGAGTGGTTCTCTTCTACATGCTGGTGGGAGAGTTGCCTTTTCAATCACCCTACTACGATCACAAACGTCGGGAACGACTTTTGCGTTTTGCGCTGAGAGGCCTCTCACCGAATCACACTGCTGCCATCGCCTCCTTCACCCCAGGTCCGATGGCATTCACCTCTACCGCTTAAGTGTTGAAGGGGACTTTCTTCTTACCCCCATATGTTACCTAAATCCTGTCCAAGTTAAATAGTCTTGATCACAAAAGTCGCCAAATTACGTTGGTACTGAAAGGTGGATCAAATATTTCATCTGTCAGCACAGATTAAATACCGAAGTGCCCAAATGGACACAGTAAATGGACTCAGATGAGCTAAACCTTAGAATTCCATTGTCGTATGATTCTGATTGCAATCCAAATGTCAACGAGCGCATTAATGGGATGGCTTTTGATCTTAGAAGAATCTTCTCACGTATTTCAATCAAATTTTTGTTGAAATATGTGTAATTTTAGCATGTCAGCTGCTTCTACGACAAATGCTTGAGCCGCAAGCCATCATCCGGATACCGATTTGTGAGCTCTGCACGAATGCGTGGATCACGGATTCGGGAAGTCAGCCATTTCAGCCCTTCTCACCCTGCTCTGCGCACATCATCACCACCTTAGAGAACGCCTCTGTAAGAAAGTTGATATTTTAAAATTCCTTTTTGGCATTTACAAGTCCGATATGAGAATTCAAAGCAAGCCGTCCCTAAGACTTCCCAAAGTTAAAAATTAGGCAAAGTCTACGGGCAGAATATGCGTGGTCGAAATACAGGAGGGTCTGGAGGCCATACCACTCGACGGGGGTACGATGACGGAGATTCAAGTGGCCTGGTACCAAAATCGAGATATAAAGGAACATTTACCATATTGCATAGCCCTTGCATCTTTCAAGCGTCGTCCTTGGTGCTCCCCATCGTAAACCTCCCCCGTCAGCCAACATAACATAATTTGTGCAGTAAGGAAGCACTCACAAGCCGACCATGCCATTCATGAGATTTCCATATGGCTGAGGAGATACTTGACTGTAACGCCACCGATCCCTCTTGGTAGTTCTGCTAGATCTGGAGTTTCATCCTGTTTGGGTACTCGATTGGGGGATGGGTAAATGTGTTGGCCATCACGCGTGTCCACCGCTAGTTGTAGGCACACTGGCCTAAAGGCAGAGCCATGTAACAAGGGATGGGATTTAACATAGTTCCATGGGGATAGGCTTTTGCATCTGTTTAAACCTTGCCACCCTTTTTCTCACTTCACTGCTGTCCATCCACGTCTACCTAGGTTCCATCCGGTAAGTAAAAAGGTGGCGGAGATACCACGTGTTTACTTAATCAGTAGACGGCTCCGTAACGAACTAATCCAGATGGGTCACGGCAACAGCTTTACTGCAGAACACGCGACTGGGGTAATTGCCAAACGCAGACGTCATTTCCACCTCATCTCTTAGGGCTCATTACAGATTCTCTCATCCGCAGCATGCGCACTTCTTCCGCTCCGCCAAGGTTTATCATCCAGCAGTAGAATTCAGGGTAGCTGTCCTTTAGTATAGGGTTCGGTTTCCGCTACCGCCAGCGTAGCTCGCCGAGACCTCCCTGTACACAAAGGAAGATGTAATACTTGGGCAGAATGTGTAATGCTGGCGTACAGCAGGGCTTGGAGCTACTGGCATGGCCCAGAGATCAGCCCACCTGGAGAAGGCACAATGGAGGAGCCCCTAAGTGACCCGTCACCAAAACCAAGAGTTAAACAAACTATTAACGTATTACATGACTGTTCCATTGTTTAAAGACGATCAAATATCATTCCGTTATCCGAATGACAAATTATAAGAAAACCAACAATTTCTGAAAGTCTTTTTTTTAAAAATGATTGAGGTGTGAAACTGCAACATCAGTATTTTAGAAATGGTCTAAAGGGGCATGCAGGTCGACTTGTTAATATTTGAAAGGCTAAAAAGGTCCAACTGCGCACTTTGTGTGAGGGCAAAAAGCACAATCAACCTAACAAGCTTGATGCGAATAAATAAAATGAACAAAAGCGCCACCTGGAATTCCCGGCAGCTTTTATTCAACTACATACATCCCCTCGGTCCCTATACTCGCATGTCAATAGTGGATTCAAGTATGTTTCTGGGCCACAGCCTAGCAATTTCTATTGCAAGACTTGCTGTTTCTCCAGTTCTTTCTCATAACCATCTGCTGAGAGATAACCAGATGAATGTTAAAGAATTTTGAGCATATGCTCCGGCAAAAACATGTCCTCCCTAGTTTATTTCACTGTCCTACTAGTTAATTCCTAAATGTAATATATAATTTCCACTAAGATAGACTAAACAGTTTTATTCTAGTAAGCGTAACTTACGACACCCTTTCGGCGGAAGGTGGTCAAAGATTGAAGTGGTTACAGGGTCACCGAATCCACCCATGCTGTGATTTTTGATGGGTTTCAAAGACAACGGCAGGAGAGGTTAGCCGTAAAAGCTCAAATCGTTAATATCATGGAGAAGGTGAAAATTTTTTCCATTCAGTGGTCGTGAATGGGTGAATGTCGGTTACTTTAATAAGGCCCGAAAGTAAGTGGTGGGGTATCCAGACGAAACGGATACTATCGCACGTAGGGGAGAATTCCAGAACGCAGCCCTAAGCAGGGTCGGTAGTGCCAATCGGCTTCGGGGTCCCCTAAGAACTGATCAGCACAAAATTGTCAAGATCACAGAATGCATGCCACTTGTGAGAGGCTTCGAAAAGGAGTTGCGAAATCCGATCTGCTGCGTAATAAAAGTGATTTGCAACGAAAATTTTTTGCTCCTCATGACCGTGTTCACCTCCACATCGTGATGAACACACTGAAATTTTGAAGTTATGCTTACAGCTTGCGGGACTTGTCAAGTGTCATCTGAGTAGCGCAGAAGATTTACACGTTCCGACGATGTAAAAGCAGTGCTGCCTTAATGACTGCGCATCCAAGCAGATGGGTGGGTCTTTCGAGGAAAGCAAACAATTTTTGAATTGAGAGGGGCTGCAAAAGACGTTTGAGTCAGGCTAGGAACTGTGTGTATACACGGGGCTGAAGAAAGAATCTGTCAAAAATTGCGGAATTTATTTATTTCCAGATAAGTTTAGTTGTCTGGTACACTTATAAATCACTCCATTGTGCACTTGTAAAGTACTTGCAAAGCATCTTCACTATAGGAAGATTGGTTAGTACGACTGAACCATCCTGGAACAGCCTGTGTGCATTGGTGCCCCGGGTTTGCTTACCTCCCACAAATGCTAACGTTTGCATTCGTGAAGGACTGTGCTATGTTGAGCGTTCCCAATGAGGCATCCAGTGTGCCTGATCCAGTCATCCCACTCACTGAAATGAACGCGCATGGAAAATAACATATGATGGGAGCTGGGCAAGTATCCACCAAGGTCGGGGTCGTTGCTTCTATCTAGGTAGGCAGACTTACAACCATTCAAATGCACTACTGACGACCTAGTGAGTACCACCCGTCAGATGATATTTCATTTGACTGAAAGGCTCCAGAGGGTGTGCATCCGGCAAACTCTACTCACCCCCATACGATTGGGGCAGGAGGCCCGGTGAGGTGTACTCAAGAGTCCTCAATCGATTTTCTAGTTGGCTTCCGATCGATTCTTGCTGGATCCAAAGAATTTTCTTCACTTCTTTTAGAAACTCACCCCCAGCACATCCTACAAGGGCTCCACTGTGAATAGCAACCACCAGCCGGCTGGGAAATGGGAGGTGCCAGGCAATCACGGGCTAGTGAATCGTGTGAAAGATATGTTCACCAGGAATGGGGATGATGAGTCCTCTGCCGACACCCGTGGAAATGAGTGGCTTCTGGCAACTGACAGTGAGACCAATGATACTAATAAACGTTCCGAGTCGACTGATTCAAGTGCTGCTTTTGGTGAACAAAAGTGCAACAATATTACTGAGGTAAGGTATTAGGCAAGGTGAATGGAAGTTCACCGGTCTTTCGGTGAATTCCTTCCTCCCGATCATTTCATGAAATTATGAAAAACAAGTCAACTTTATTTGTGTACATAGTAGTTCGGTTATTCAGCAGATATGGATTTACTTAGTTAAAGACCAGATAAAGTTTAGTTAAGTCCCGTCTAATATATTTTTTCTTGGCAAATAAATAAAGGCTATAGATTACCTTGCCCGACTGCAAAAAACAAGCGCCTCGGAGATTGTTCGAGCAATTCTGGAGCGTCCTATTGGAGAAGTTTCGGCCACTTTTCAAATTTTGCTCCATTTGCATAGACAAAATGCAGGTGAGATTTTAAATCTAAAGTGTTTGCTTGAAAACTATTCCTTGCTAAAGTGATAAGAAGGGTGGAGATTCTAACAAAGCAAATTAAACCATGCAGTTAAAGGGACTCTGGCAAATGAACATCCTAAGTTGGTTAGTAGAGATTGGCAATCGAGCTTGAAATCTAAGGAAAAAGAGTCCAAGTCAGCCTTTCGGAGATTACAAACCCCATTTATTTATTAACGTACCGAGTTGTTTGCTGCATTTTCGCACCATCTCGGTGTCTACCTACACCATAGAAAGATAGGTCAGCACGACTGAACCATTAATCCTGAATCCAGAGTGTGCTTACCTTCTGCAGTTGCCAACGTGTGTTGGTGAATGTTGTGTTGAGCGTGCTCACAGAGGGATTAGCTCCTAGTGGGACTTTGCGGTGGGAGAAAATGTGTGAATTAGGCATCAGGGAGACCTGGTCGAGACATCCTACACACTGAAGTAAATGTTCGCGGAAAATGTCTGCTTCAGTGTGAGTTGGAAATGCAGCCACTGGAGGGTCTTCTTCGATGCCCACCCTTGAGGTGTTAGCACCACTCAGGAATCACACTACGGTTAGGCGTTTCATCCGCCTGTATGAGCGTAAATGGGAAGTTTCGTTCATCATCGAATGCTGGTCTACGGATGGACTGCCACCGCTGCTCATTGATGAAGCGTATCTGGACTGATCCAAGCACGGTATTTTGCCATAGTCGCATTCCCTTTTAACATTATTGTTGTAAATCTGGATCCTTGATTCATCGTTAGAATTCGCTTCTTCCCTATCACAATAAAAAGAAACAACCTATCGTCATAAAATCTAGCATGTTCTATCTACTGCCCCAAAGATTAACAACTAGCTTCTGCATTAAAGGCATCTACTTGGTGGATCATACAGCTCCAGGATGGCCTCAACTGGAGTTGGCATCATTCATGGCCTACATTGATCCTAACATGATGAAACGTCTGCGTGTCAACGCCAAAGATGTAGGAAATTTGGACAGTTCTGCATCGAGGGGTGCACTTCATAGTATCAATTGGTGGTGGTGTCCCATCCTTTTGAGGTTAGGCAAGTTTTTGCGATGGTAGAAGCTCCAACGTATTAACTCAAGTGATTGTCGATCCCCCTACTTATACCACTCTCACAGCAGACTATGCAGTTCAATTTGCCAGAAGTATGTCCGTATTCACTTGATGTGAGCATAGCGCCCTGAGACTTCCTGGAAGATGAAAGAAGACATAAGACTTGGGCGGAGTATGTATTGGCAACGTAAGATAGGGTTTGGTGCTGTTGGCATGGCCTAGAGGCCAGGTCGCCCGGCAAGGGTACCATGGCGGAGCCCCTAATTTATCCATTACCGAAATCAGGAGCTGCCGGGAGATCATTGAACACAATGTTCTGGGTGGTTACAATACACTTTATGCGAAGACTAACCTAAGACAAACCTTATCAAGTAGTTGAAGGGATAAGCTGTCACGGAGGTTCATTTTCGATCTGTCAAAGTGGTGCTGAGGTGATGAAGGAGGAGTGAAGCTGGATGCAAAAAATTACTTTAGCTTCCTTTTAAAAGCTACTTCCCGCAATTTCCCTCATCGAATTTTAAAGCTTAACCATTACACGAACTTCTAAATTTATCACATTCTTCAAGTCCTAGTTAGTAATTTTTTTGGTTTCATTTAACAGTTTGTAATGCATAAGTTTGAATTCAAATCTGAAAAATTTTGGTTGGAACTAATGTATCACATTGGAATATCGTACAAGACCGACAAATAAGCAGCAAAAGGTTGGTTTTTATTTGAGCACATGCTTAAAAGGCATAAGCAAATGGCCCATTTTTCCTCGACAGATGGCTATTGAAAACAGCTGGAAGGAAAGCAGAAGTCTTTTCCATGAATTATTTCAGAAACACTTGCTAAAATTCCATTGACCCAGGATGTGTGTGTTGTGACACCGAAGTGGAAACTACCATTAACTCCTCACTGACCTCAGGGAGATGATCACTCCTCGAGGCATTTTTGTAATACTTTACTTCTTCACTTAACTCCCAATTTTACTAACGGATCACTCAAAGGCTGCGTTGTTGTACCTTGCCCGTGTAGCCTGGCCTGTGAACCATGACAGTAGCCTTCAAACCCTTCTGTAGGTCGACAGTGTCCAATCTGTCCGAGTATTACATCTTCTTCCGTCTTCAGGAAAGTCTCGGGGGGTTAAATTATCATCAGTATCTGCTGTCACTATTTACAGCAAGTCTATCGGCCCATTTACTGGGTTCCTTGTCTCATGAATTGTGCATTTGACCTTTTCACATTTCATAATATTAACAAGTCGATCAGTATGTCGGGTTAGACTAGTTGACTTTTTTGACGAACCCTTCCCAAAGTTCGACAGTTTAGCCTACATTCGCCCGCGTGAACTGTCGAAGACGGATTGTCAAAAGTACTTCTATAGGGTGTGCTTCAATTGGTTTCCCCATTCTAGGAATTTGGGTGGTTGCTGCTGCAATGGAGCAGGTGAGGTGTTCACTGGCAGTCGGTTGGATAAGACGGCCTTTCGCAGAGCCCTCATGGTTTCGATTGAAGCCTTCGAGCGAAAAATGATGGGTCAGACCATTTCACAGGGCAAAACGGAGGTCGCTCCGAGTCTCGTATCGTGCAAGAGTGAGTGCCCTTCTATCTACGATATTCCCACTCTAGTCATGACTTTTCCCCACTTCGATAGTCTCTTTTATGCTAGAGACTTCATCTGAAGATCGGCGATTTTTTGCGAGAAAGTGACTATTAGTAAGGGTTAATACTGATTCCAAATCCATCTTGTGGCGCACTTGAGTGCCATCCTACCAAAGATTTGGGGTGATAACGGCTTTGTGAATAAACATTATCGCAATTCCGGAAAGCATTTGTTTTATCGCAGCTCTAAGTTCCAATGGAAACCTCTCAAACTGTCCCAAAATCGAAGATTAGGATGGAACAATGGTTCCTGCACTTTTCAACCATTGTCTGATCATTGCAACAGCGTCATGGACACATACAATCCCCGAGCGCAGCAGCTGGTAATATTTCAAAGCCTAAGGTTTCATTCCAAGAAGGCGTAGGAGTGCTTGCTTAGAAAACCACTGAAAAGCTGAACCGCTATTTTTTTCCTTAAATATGCTTGATTAAGCATACACGACCCACTAATAATGGGAATGACATGTGGTAACTTCGGTTCAAGAGTAATGTTAGTCCAACCTTACTCCCAACCATGCCTACGGCGTTGAAGATCAAGTTTACTTGAGCACGAGACGACTGCAAGTCTGAATCCCATTTGTGACAAGGCATAAGGGAATCTTTTTAAGCAACTGGGTTAATAGTGGTTGAATATCAGGAGTTTCGAGGTTAGCCAGAACCCCGTGTCTCTGAAGCTTTAGCTCAGGGCCTTTTAAAGTTTTCACGGAACCGCTCAAATCGTAATGGATGCGGCAGTCCTCAACGGTTTATCGGTAACCAGCCTGTTAGTGACCCGCTTAGGCAATTTAAACCAAAACAACATTCCATTGAGAAATAGAGTTGATAGAACAAATTGCTGTAGATGTTTGCATTTCTGGACCTTCCTGGGCGTGAGATTTGAGAATGGGTAGGAACTCAAAGTCTCGTTCCAAATCGCCAAACAAAGAAGGATCTACTTTAAAAGTCGATTCCACGTAAGACCGCGTATAAACCAAGCCACTGTATTCTCCCAAGATACGCCCTATTACTGAAGTTTGCCTTGCTTACAACGACTACTAGATAATTGCAGAAACAAAATAAATAAGTTGCCGCAATACTTGCTAACATCATGATTACACATGCTACGTTTAAAAGGAACAACGATCTGATTTTTTTATTTGACGGCAGAACTGCTTTAACCGTCGTTTTACTGGTATCATGTAATTTATGGTGTTTATTTTCCGGCAAGAATTTCAATGGATAGTACAAAGATTACGTCCCGCACACACTTGTAGTTTTAAAGACACTACACTAACTGAGATTTCGTTTATGAAATCAAGTGGTATTTATCGTTGCGTTAATTCCCTTTTAGCACTGGACGGCCGGAGACCGAAGCAAATAAAGGTGAAATTCCTATTTTTTTACTAGAATGAACAAATTTTGTCAGTGGGGAATTGCATGTTAATTGTGCTTTAGTCGAAGCACAGCATCAACGCATTCGGGGTGGTGGTGATGCGAAAGACGAACCAACTGCAAACCCCCGAAGACTCGAGTAGACTGGCGCGCGAATTCACTGAGCGCCTGCATCGCAGCTCGATCCGTGCCTCGGTTAGAAGTAACTTCAAAAACGTCTAGGTGTTACCACAGGTCTTCGCTTGAAAAAAACTGATTATTTGTTGTACCACTTGTTTCTAATGTTAGTGTGCGGGTTCCTGGCTTGTGTGTTCTTGTTTGTTAAATCTTTCTCACGTAAAAGAACAGAAATAAAGGTGAAAATAAATCCTTGGTACCAATTCTTCATATGTTATATGGAATTAACAGTGGGAAGCCGAGTGAAGTGGCAGATTCTAGGGTGTGATGTAAAGCAGGTATCCTTGCACAGCACATCAAATCATTTTGTATTTAAGCTGGAGAGAAAATCATTTGAACGAATACAGCTGAAGGGTGTGATCCTTGCGAAAAAATATGGCCCTTTAAACAAGGGTGATTTAGGTGTTGAATGATAAAAATCCTATGTAATTATTTATTTGTTAGTATCCGCTAAAAATTCTGATTAAAATGAGGGGATAATAAAAACTCAAGTCTGATTAAAAAGGTTTCGTAATTTGCGTTTCCGGTTAGGCACATCTCGTCTTATGCTAAAATGAAAGTCATATGTATATGCAGTTTTACAAAAGTACAAAAAGGGTTTAATATGCTTGAGTCAAGTAGATTTTTTAAATTTTGATTATATAAAAAATCTTTAATGTATCTCCTAAATATATCTCTGGGTGAATTAAACTAGTCCTTTGGTTGTTTTATATCTTTGTTTTCGAGTTGCCCGCCTGGCTTGAAGTTGCGGGACCGCCATTGTTGAATTGCATTTTCTATGTAAGTTGTTTGTTTTCGCTTACACTTGCTTTCCTGACGGTTCATGCTAAATAAGTCAATTTATATGGCATTTTCTCTGCTACAGGTTCCTTCTTAGTCTTCTTTTTGATGAAGTATTCTTGAGACAAGGGTGAAATGTCACATACGGGTGGTGATATAGGGAATAACGCTCCCCCAGTTCAAGCTTGGAATAGAACACCAGGTAGGGATCTAATACCTATTTTGGTTTTCTTTTTAAAATTCCTATTAAACAGCTATACCTTTATAAAGGTAAACCGAGTCTTCCTAATTTGTCCGGAAATTTGCCGAATGCCTCTTCTTGGGGTGGTAAGAAGAAGGTGAACCCAACCGCCACCTGCTCAGATGCCTCTGCAAGTGGAGATGTCTGGCCTTTGTTAACAGATCCGCCACTGTCACGCAAAAATGAACCCTCGCAATGGCCAACACCTGCTGAGTTAGCTGGGACGTCAAGGAACGATACCATTAATGACTTCTCAATTCCCAACGCCGTAAGTTTATCTATAATTTTGGTTGCTGAATCTGCCGTCGTATAGTATACCTGAACACTGCATGTGTTTTTAGTGGAGCTCGCCTGGGACGTCTCTAGCGCTTCGTACTCTAGGCGACGCCGAAGATCGAAACGACTCTTGGCCCCCATTGGATACTGCCAAAGCTTCTAATCCCATTGACCCGGTATCCATGGCCCGTGCTATCACAGGCAGTGGAAATCTCGTATCAGGTGACAGTGCATTTAATTCGCGCCAACAAATTCACAGTGTGGCTGGCGGGAAACCACGGAACGAAGGTTTCTCTAGTTGGGGTCCTTCTATCGATGGTGACTTTAGTGCATTTGCGAGTAAGTCCCTCACTCATCAACACGCTTTTATTCAAGCCTTTGCTTAAATTTCTTTAAGGATTTTGTGAGGCTTCGGTTTCCACCTAGATCATCAACTACCACCTACCTCCGACAAGACCGCTACAAACTGTCAACAACCCGGTGATGCTCTCTGCCCAAGTGCCAGTGATTCTGGTAACCATATTGATGGACAGAGCGAGGCAGCGATGATTATCAACACTTTAATCAACTCGAAGGAGTGCTGGGGTCAGCATCCTGTTGACCAAGCCACACCCTGGGATATGGCGCTTCTCAATGAGGAGCTGGCATCGAATTCCACGGCAGCAAATTCCGGCAATCACAATTCCACTGGCCTCTTAGGGGATGCTATCTCCCTCGCCATAAAACACCGTCGCCCAGTTCGAGGCAGTTCCGGGATCACTAACGCAGGCGTTCCTGTGGAGTCGAACGTGTGGTCTAGTGAACCGCCTACGGGCACCAGCATTTGGGAGATGCATTATGAGAGTCTGGGCGATAGGTCGGGGCGTTGGAAGCAGTCCTCTTCTTCGTCTTCTACTGCAACAGCAGGGGTAGTTGGTGGCGGTGGCAGTGGTTCGAGACTGGACGTCGTTGCTTCACCACCTGGAAGTCATAGAATAGTGTCCTCGTTCATGAGTCCATCCCCCGTTCAACAGCAGCAACAGGGACGTGGTGGTTGTTTCCAAAACAATTTTTTTCCCTCACAACCGCAGCAGAGATTCGGTCAGGCAGCTCTACAACCACCAGGATCGGGAAGAGGAGTTTTTGGTCCAAACAGCTTGTTGAGTGTCGGCACCACTGCTGGCGGTGGCTTCAAATCTCAGGCATCTGCAGTTGCTCAGGCTTCGGCCGGATGGTCGCTTCCACTCACACCTGATAGTCAAAGCAAGTCTGGGGTTACGCTTAACTTGTCACGTCTTATAAATACACGAAACCATGGTCTTTGTGTCGCCATTTCCAAATCAAAATCTAGTACATTATGTCCTTGTTAGAAGTCAATTAACCCAAAGAATATTTTTGCTTTGCATTTGAAAATCAGTGATGTTGAAGTATCCCGTCGTAGATATGACACTTTTGGTAATGTAAATACTTCCTCGAAACTAAAAACGTTTGTGTTCTGCCACCACTTTGGCTGTACACGTTTTGGTTCCCAGAATCATTTTAATCCTTGCCAAATCCACACTTCCATTTATCAGCAATTTACCCAAATTCTCGCTCCTTCGGGACGGTGGCTCGGTCACGTGAGAGTGTCGATGCACCGTTAGCACACATCGTAATAGAATAATGTTGATGTCGATTATTTTTGTCTAGGGTTAAACCTATTGGCAAGGAACGCTTTGTCCCGAATTTTTTGATGCTTCGTATCGATCCCCTTGAGTAATCGCTTACTGGTTTTCTTTGGAATGCTATCTGTATGATGCTATTTACGTGGTGTGCTACTTTGTGGCTTCCTTTCCAATAACGCTACAAATATTAAAAATATATTGTTGGTAGTCGGTATAATGGTGCCACCTCTTTTGCATGCAGGCCCGTTGGAAGATAGCAAACGATTCCTGGCGTCTTCAGGGCCATGGAGTTCTGAGGGTCGTGGGTTGGGGAAGCAGCAACACCAGCAGTTGTCCTTGGGTGATACAACGCGTTGGCCCTCGCCCCTCGCTCAACCCTCCTCCGCATCAATCGATAGCATCCCGTCATCTTCCGCCCTCGCAGCGCCACTCCCCTGGCAAGGTGGCATGGATCCGCGCAAGTTTGTGCCCTGGTCCCAGCAGACAGCAGTAGTACCACAGCCTCCCTCTGCAGCAGCACCACAGCGCTTTCATCTTCGTCAAAATACCTCTGTCCTGCCTGCCGTCGTCCCTAGTGGCGCTTCGGTGTCGGCATCATCACCCTCGGCGCAGCCCCTGCGACTCCTCGCCCCTAACGCCGGCCACCAACACCACACTCACCCCCATCACGCGCCATCTACTACTACGGCCCTCCTCCGCACTGATATTGCCAGGCAACTCATGTTGCTTGGTTTCCATGACGACGCTGGCGCTCTCCTCTCTGACAATGGCATTGAAGATTTGGAGAAGTTTCTCTGTAAGCTTACTCCTCTTTTCCATCGTTACATTGCTCAATAATCCGAGGATAAGTCTGACTGGTACAAATTGCAGGCGGCTTTGGAGTGGATTTGAGTCATATTCGTGCGGAAAATCAGCTCATTTTGGCACTTTTGACAATTATGTACACAGCTATCCAAACAGTAGTATCACATAAATGGTTGTAGCAATCTTGTCGAGTGCTCTCTGAGTGTCGATGCAATATTGAGCAATGCAAAATAAACCGGATAACATTGTCAGCTGTATGCGCACTAATTGTTTACTTATAATGTGGGGTGGGAAGGATGAATTTTTATATAATAAATGGATGAACTTATAGGTTTCGATGTTAAAATTGGTACAACTAGCAAGGTGCTCTATGTGGCTGCTTAGTCCTCATCAAATGATTAAATTGGTGTCGATAATTTTTTTGGACTTTAAGGTGGTTCCAGCTGGCAGAAATGGTTGTATTGCGTTGATGACCTCTTTCTTTCTATTTAGCAGTATTTTTCTTAGAAAGTACTCCGGTATCGATTATAACCTAGTCCACAATAAACTGGAGCAGTTATTTTCAGTTTCCCCAATTAGTTCTGTAAAGGTCATAAATGTTGTTTATTGACGTTTTTCCACATCCTCGAATGTGTGTCGTTTTGAGGCAAGCAGGTTGTTGCTGTTGCAAAAGTTCACATACTTTAAAAGTACTCTACAAGCTTAAGTGCACTTTAGTTTATGACTGGATGTTTTTTTTGCCGTAATTTTATCTCTATATACGTGAGATTATTAAGAATATCATTTGAACGGTAAGCCCAGATTTACTAGCGGAGATCCTTTTTAACTGCCCACTTTTTTTCTGCACGATTTCATGATTGTTGTCTAACTTATATAAATATTTTAAAGAATTTACAGATTCAGTGAACGATTCATTCTTCGAATCTGTTTGTCTCAGAAGAAACAGCTACATACAAGTTAAATGGTAAAGTAAATTTACAAGACATGCGTTAAAAATGTTGGGGAAAAAACTCGTTTTGGAGATTTTTTCCTTGCTTTGCATATCTTTTAATGTTAGTGATTTATTTTTTATAACGTAAGTCAATTACACCCTTTTAGATGATCTCCGCGAGCGAACGGGTGGAATGCACCCGGGCCTCAACCAGCTGATCAACTCGGTCTCCACCGTTCTCATGCCAGCCGGCGGTGGCGGTTCGGTAGATTTGCAGCAGCCCCAGCAATTGGGACCACCGCCACAGGCCTTTGATCTTTTCGATAATCGTGGCAGTGGTGCCGCCTCTCACTTGGGGAAGCAACACTTTGCAGGTCGGCAGAACTCTGCATCACCCTCAGACGCACTGGGCCAACTGCTTATGCGTGCAACCCATCTTCAGACGACAATCATCCAGTTGGACAAGAAAAAGAGAGTGAGCAGTTCTGCTTTTTGTTGGTTGCATAATTATTCGAACTACATCCTATTTTCGTTAGTTTTTATTCACGAAAGAATGTAGCCCTTGATCGGTTGGACCGGTTTTCGATGGGACGGTTCTTCTTAGTAGGTAATCTAGAAATTAAGTCGTTGTTCCCACTGGGGTTGGTAATATCATTTTTAAGTTAGGAAGAGCTGCTACGGGTTGACGTCATGCTATTCGAAAAAAGGCCATCATTGACATCTACAGTTGCATGTTGCGCAATTCAGCAATGAGGCAAAGTTGGATGATGGAAACGTTTTGCGGTAGTGAAGTAAATCGCTATGAAGATCAAAGCTCCTGGCAATGGGGGCAGCATTTATCATCAGTTTCCAGTCAATTTTCGATCAGAAATATCCTACTTTTATGAGAACGTTTTATGTTATTTTTAATTCATTATTTTAATAGAGCTACTGCTATATGAGGTCCGTAACTATCATGTGCAGATATGTACTGCTGTTGACCAAGCTTCACCGCCAAGCCTTCCGTTTTAGTAATTGAATGGGTGGTTATTGAGTTTGCTGTTTCGAATGTTGGTTTCTTAATTATCATCACACAACTCATGTGCCATAACCTGGGAGTGAACCACTACGAACAGGTGGGGTGTGTCCACTCGATACTTTTAGACTAAACAGTTGCGTTGATGCTGCGCTATTATCGTTGGGTGTGTGCACCCATTACACATGGTCGGCGATAAAACTTGCTACAGCTTATGATTTCGGTGCACTGATCCAACAATTAATGATGCCTGGAATAGGTATTTCCTAGGTGTTTCAACATGTGCCACTTTGTACGGATTGATAGACCCTTTCCAGTAAATGCTACCTGATGTTCACCCATTGAATTTTCAACATGTGTGGCAATTCACATTCGGCAGTAGTGTTCATGATTCCGCGCCCTTGCCATTTGGCAATTCTGAGTTTTCGGCTGTATTCCTTTGACTCATTCACTTAAAGCTTAAACATTTATTATTTACTTTTCAAAGGCGACTTTCATTTAAGAGCTTTAATTCATGAAGCCCAAATCCTAATACTGCAACGTTACATAATGTTCCATCTATAACCGAGGCGCCTTACATAGTCTGGTTTCTGTTGGTGAATTCATAATTAGTGAGTCTTTTTCACTTGCGTTTCGTCTGCAATAGAGTGTGGTTGCCAATTTTCAAATTATCGTCGGAGGCTTTTGATTATTTCTAGTCTGCTTAAAATTATGAATTGACTGAATAGTCGGAATTCGTAGCATAATTACCATTCTTCGAACCCTTCATTTTCCTAGTCTGAACCCTGTCCGTAATGATAGGCAGTCGAGTTTACGTGCAGTCATCTAGAAAGCTGACGTTGAAAGGGTTTCGTTGTCTTCGGTGGACTCAAACGTTGGCTGTTCAGTTAGAGTCCACAAAGCTTGATCCATCAAATTCGAATCCATTCCGCCTTTAGTCCGAGATAAGACTACTAGGGGCTTAACTGCTAATTGTTGCCGAAGGTTTTTTTTATCCCATTTAAACAATTAGGCGATTGGTTAAACAATTTGGCTGCGAATCATTTCATCATGAATTCGTCTAAATGTCGTTGGTAGGGGGAGAACTGAAGTGTCTTCATTGCGTAACTTCTTTGCAGCTGATAGACTGTAGAAACTTGAACATTTGAGATAGGGTTGCTCACTTGTTTCTGTCTGCGCTGTTTGTAGGAGCTGAACATGAAGCACTCACAACTACGCAAGATGAACATGGGTGGTCCTACAGCTCACCACTCCAACTCTCTGCTGCAGGAAATTGTGTTGCAGCAGGCACAGATCTCACAGCAAATCGAGGCACAGGAAGCACAGCTTGGCCAAGCGCGTCTTCAAATCGCCTTCCTCACTCGCATCACAACTGGTGGCGGTGGCGGCATTGGCAACGAAGATTCCACTGCTGCTGCCGCGGCCACAGCTGCCATGCTTATGCGTCTTCGTTCTGGTGGTGGTAGCGGCGGTGTTGGTCCTCCACCCACTCGAATGATGAACCATCCGATGGGAGGATTCGGAGGCGGTGGGCCTCGTGGAAGTGGGATGCTTCTCAGTTCACCACCCCCCTCCAGTGATTTGGCCCCCAGATTGGCCGATTTGAAGCTCTCGATGGGTGTGTTTCGTCTTTTATTCCACACTGCTTGATTAAGCTACTCGATGTTTGTCTTTGTAAATATTTGCTACGTTTAAGAAAGGCAAATGAATTAGAAATGACTTTAAATACTGCTTTTTGTAGTGGTATTTGATCTAAAAGTGTAAAACCTTTTCGCACAATCTCTTGCCAATGATTTCGTGTTTCTATAGTCCATCAAATGACATAGAATCGGAAATTGTCTGCAAAGTCCAACTTGGGGGTTGATTTAATCCCTACAGTCATTTGTTTGAATCCACACAACTACCTCTTAATCATGCAATGACTTGGCTAACACATTTTTGAGTTTGTAACTGCTTCCAGTCATATTGCAACCTTGATTGTGGCCTGGGACTTATCCCGCAAAATTTTCAAATTTTTATGATCCGTCCCAATCAAGGCTCAATATGTTTTTTTAACACAACTTGCAATTGAGTCGATTTTTTTATTATCTAAGCTATTTTTCTGGTCTATAATCGGTATCCCTTGCCTCTGGTTGCGTAATTTAAGATGGCAGTAACGGTTCTGATACTCATTTAGTTCCAATTTCCTAAAATTCTAGTACCTTCTAATCTTACGACCCATAGTCTTCAGTTTACCGTTGTTCGCTTGAGTCTAAACTGGAATCGTTAACCGAAAAGGAATTCCTTATTGGATTGCCTTTTTCAGGTGTGAATTGTGTTTATTGATGATTTGAGCCTTTAACCTCGTTGTAGTGATTTCTTGGTGCAACTCATTTTCTATCTCTTTTTCCCGGAAGAGACTGGTTGAAAGTTGGACTTAGCTCGAAGTGTATAGATGAAATGGTGATAAAGAAGTTCCTCCATTATAAACCAAATAACGAAGCCGGTGGAATGCCACTGTTCACTGTTCTCATTTCGTAGTCTTGGGGTTATCTTAGCATAATTGATAGTGCCACTGCGTACCTGTTTTTATTCAATTTTGCTTTTGTTAATGCCTGATTTCGCTTATCTCTCGGTGGAAGGCAGATTTTTCATGTGTCAACTTACCGGTGCCCCGACTCTTGTTCCATAGTGAAATTTTCTCGCATGAAAGTCATTTCAACTTTGCCAAAGGCAGTTCATTAAACTCCGCCTATACTCTTTGTAGTCAAGGCCTGTTAACAGCTCTTTCGGTTTACGTCTATTACACTGTGCTTCTGACAAGGATGAACTATGGGAATGGTTAACTTCACAGTAACATTGCGCAATGCAACTCGCTCTTGACATTAAAACTGCTGCACAGTTTTCAAATAATGGGACGCAAGCACTCCCTTAAGCGATAAGTTAGACAAATGAAGGTGTTTGTCGTTTTTTCATGAAGGAATGTGAATAAACGTCATCATTTGTTTCATGGAACTCGTAGACGTGGGCCGTCGAATGCCTTGGGATGGAGGAGGTGGCGGTGCTTGGGACGTCTCTTCACCTCATCAATTCAGTCACGTCTCGTCCTCGAACACCTTCCTTAATAGCGATCCCACCTCCAACGTCTTTCCTCTCACCTCTTCCACCATTGGAGACCGTCGATGGGCGACCTCCAACTCATCCTCTGACTTCCACCAACCTCCTGCCCCCTCTCCCTCCACCACCACTGCCGTTGCGGCAGCAACCAACGCCATCTGGAACGCCTCCTGGCTCCTGCTTTCCGATCTGACGCCTCAGTTCTCCCTCGAAGTTCTTCGAATTTCTATTACAACCGCACTGGATCAGCAGCAACAACAGCAGAACGTAGTCATTGGTGATGGCGGTGGTGGCGCTTCGAATACCGGCGTTGCCTCTTCCGCCTCTACCTCAACCTACGAAGTTCATCCCAATCTGCCGGCTCGCTACGTTCTGGTGGGTTTCCTGAACCCTCCTGATGCCTCCGTCGTCTCCACATTTATCTCCTCTACTACCAATTCAACAATCAAACTCGCCAACAGTGTTACCATCATCAGTCCCGCGGAGGCTATGGCAAAGTTGCAGGAGATCAAGGTTTGAGGCTAGCTGGCTTCCTAGTCCAGAGAGTTCCTCCTTCAAGTATGTGTGCACGCACTTCTGATTGTGCGTTTTTTTCCTTTCGTTATTCCAGACTCTGGATGATGAACTTCAACAGCAGCAGCAACAGCAAACCCCATCTCAACAACAAACACCACAACAGCAGGGAAATCAATTAACCTGGCCCCCGACCAATGCCCTCGCTGGCGAGTAGTAGTTTGGCTAGATTGTGTACGTGTATGTGGAGTGTCGTCGCCCTCATTGTGTGTCTGTGCGTGTGTGTGCATCGCAATATAATTCCTTCTCTGTGTGTGTTACCTTCCCTCCGCCTCGCCTCACCTCACTTAGCATTAAATCTACTGTGCAATTCGGTAACGCGATACTTGCCCTACCTCGGAATTGACTGGATAAGCGGACTTCCGAATCAATGTATTCCCCTTCTTTGCTCTCCCACCTATATCTCATATGTACCTGCATTCACACTCACCCAAACGGTGTACGAATGAGGGAAGGACAAAGACGATTAACCTCGGTCAGTCCCGTCGCTGCCAATTTTACCCGCCGGAAATTATCATTCTCAACAGGTGTTGTTACTAATGAAGGTATGCCAGGGCGTTGCACGTACGCATGTACACGCGTGCACACGCACTTCCATGAACAGAGCCTCCTGTGCTATCCAAATCCTGTCCACACTCACGAAAATACAACTACACACATTCTCTATGTTTTTTGCCTGCTTGTGGTATGCTAATGCCACACCACATTCGAAACTCCACATACCAAAGCGCCGGTGCGGATTTTGCTGGTAATACTCCTACTGCCACCTCCACAAGCACTACCATCACCACCACTACTACTACTGATGATGATACTCTGTTTACTAGTCAGAATTTATTGCTGGTATTTTCTTTTTTTGCTGAAGCAAGGGAGGGAGCTAAAAATCGCCCTTGGGAACGTCTGAAGTAATTGCACATTGCATCGGTTTTTGCCTTTGCGTTCTTCAATTCTTAAGAAAGGGATTACTTCGCTGAAGCGTTGGGATCATTTCTAAGGGCGTTTAGCGTATCGGGGTGGTCTCGTGTTGTCGTGGCATTCTGGTTCCAAGGGGGAGGGGGTGAAGAATGGCTTTTACTCTTCACTTAGTCGTCGTCTTCGGTCCTCTGTGGTCGGCCTCGTGCTTCGGCGATCCCAATTCAGTTGTGTACTGCTCCTTGTTGCATTTTCGCAGCAAATCGAGAGAGCTTAGGAGACCAGCAGCGTGGGAAGCTTTAGCGCGGTTTTGTCAGGAGTGTGGGTTTGAAAGTGGTGGGAGCTGGAACGTCCCATATGGTGGTATGCGCGGTCGGGGTGTGCCTTGGCTCTGTGTCACGTGTACTGTGTGGTGTCCTTTGGTTCAGGTAATCACCACCGCTAGATGGGTATGCCGCGTCATGTTTGCCGTTTGGGTCCGTACATCAGGTGGAGGTGGAATTGACGAACCTGCGAAGAGCCCTGATTTGCGGGGTCACGTCCTGCACTTGTCGAGCCTCTCTAATTCGTTGTCTTCCTATCTGGTGACCCGTTATTGTCTTCAGACCATGAACAGAGGTCACTGCCTCGATAGCACATGGTTGTAGTGCCACGTCTGATTTGTGATGTCACTTTGTGGTGGGGTTGTTGCGATGATAATAGGAGGAGTTAAAGTTGGGTCAGGGTGCCATCGGGAAAAGCTTATCAAAATGGGTACTCATTTGCATTGCTTATAGCTAGTAAAATGGAGTTGCTGTACGGTACTTCCTTTACGCCTCAATTGGCTGAGAGGAATTAGATGTACGCTTAGAAAGCACGAAAGTGGAAGCAAGTCTCCATGGCATGGAAAGGCTTATACGGAGCGCTGGCTCTGGTGATGAGATCTTATTAGCAGACCGACAAATGTGTTACTAAAGATAGCAACTTACATGAAGCGGCCTCATGGTGAGGCATCATACAATCACCATGGTCTTAATACGGTTCATAAATAGGATAAAACTCCGGATTTGGTTGATTCACCGAGAAGCATTGCTAGTGCTGAGTTCATATATTTCCTCCTTAACCTAACAATTCAACGGCAGCATTTCCTAAATGTTAGAAGTTTTAATCTATCTAACGGGTTGTGGTAGTTAACGTAGAACAAATGAAGAGCCGTTTGAATAGAGTGGCTATTAAGTGAACTGATGTATAATTTATTTGACTTCAAGTGTGCAGGATATTGAAAACCAGATCAGACTCATTACCATTAGATCTTAGGTTTTAATTTGCTTTATCAAAACACAATATGCCATTTTTACCATATTTACATAGTAAAAATATTTTAACATTGCATGCCACGCCTTTTAAAAACCCTATAAGCAAAAAGTACACACTATTTAAAGTTACTATCAAATTACTATACTTTTGTTTTTTAATCAAAGGCGCCTGCTCTAGTTGCGTGTGCACCTAAGGTAGAAATGGCTACCGACGTACTTGATATCCTAGACATCGAAGAATCTGGTACACGGAAGTCTTTATTGGATACAAAGTCATTGCTCACCAGAACAGATAAGGTAAATGTTCACCTCTTTGTGCAATTCACATTAGAAGAAAAATGTCGTCAGGCCAACACACATCAAGCGTCCGGAACATATTCCAAGGGAGGTCTGGGGTCTGCAGAATACCTTTAAGAAGTAATATCAACTGTGTAGATGCTGTGTGTAGCTTTGCTAAAGACGTCTTTTTTTCACCCATTATTGCTTGTCTATGATTTTTTCCCGTGTGTGTACTGTTGATGAAGCGTCACGATGAAGTAGTCCTTTAAACCTTAATTCAAATAATCTGACCCTGCTGCAACTTCTCTTGTTAGGTTGTGGAGCATGTTTTCTATGTTTGTAGTTGTTAAATGAACACATTATAGAGTTTTCATTATTTAACCTTGATTTATATCTTTTAAAGCTTGATAACTCGTCATTGTTTGCTCATATGCTGGTGGATTTTTGATTAGTTTTTGCAGTTGACTTTTTTAAACCTAGTTTTACATAATAGCAATGTTTACCCAACCCAGAACTATTATCGTGCACTGTTTGGAATGTCAGTAATTGATGGCACTCCTGCGACTAATGGTTGCACTAATCTTACTTCTATACTAAGTGTTAAGAATTAATACCACTTGATTTTAAACATGCTGGAGCTTCACTTTACGAGTCATAGGATGTATTCTACATTCGTCAGTCTTAAACAAAACCTTCTCCCCGAACTTTAACCCTATATTTGAGCAGTTTGATTGTTCTTATTGTACATTCAGTATTCATCCATATTTGGCTCCTTTTCAATTCGAAGTTAGGTGCTGTTATTTTTTCGTAATTGGGCTAAACAATTGTCCCTTGTTGCATGCTTTTCTGATCTACCATTGTGTCTACTATTTTCTGGAACTAGGGGTTTGAGAGTATTTTTGTTGTCCTCGCTTCAGTGAGCTTCCTCCTCTACTGCCAACCAATGAATCACCCGTTTATAAACAACCAAAGGCCGTTTTTGGTCCCGGCCGTGTCCGTCGCTGGAAATGGGTGCCTTTTAAAAACTCCGCACGTGGCGTAGGGCTTTCGTATCTGTTGTTGATTTCTTCTCTAGGATAACCTGGTTCTCTATCACTGGCGTCGTGAAGACGCCGATGCTAATGAGGAGTACCACTTTGCCCGTCTCAACAAGGTACTTTTTCGCCAAGAAATATCTGCTTTAGTCAATATCTACTTTCTACAAATAAGTAAATAATTGCAAAGTGCTCTACTTTCTTGAAGCACATGGAAGTGCCAACGTACACCGACGCCGATTATCGGGCTTATCTGCAGGACTCGAGATGGACCCTGGAACGCACCAACCACCTAATGGGGTTGGCACGTCAATTCGACGTTCGGTTCATCCATATGCACGACCGATGGGATGTGGAGAAGTTTCCACCTAGGCCCTCCTTGGAGGAACTAAAGGCTCGGTACTATAGCATTCTCGGGATTCTTGACAAGGTAAGGCAGATGTTCCATCTCGAACCGTATTCAACAAGCTGTATTACCAATTTTTCACACTGAACTTGAGCTGCAATTCGAATAGAGTATTTCTTTACTAGACTTTAGTTTCCACCCGAACTGATCTTGAAATGGTTTTATTAATTGACCCAATGAGTTATGTATTGGAACATTTTTCTGTGCTTTTTTTTAAAAAAACTCAACTATGGTATATCGTAAATTAACATTATTAACCTAGGGGAAACGCGATGCATCATGTGGTGCGTTTTAATTAACCAGAATGAACAAATCTGATTTAAGCCTAATTGCTTAGACCACACACACGAAAACTTTTACTACAATTTTCGCTTGACCGTAAAATTGCGCTATTTTTATTGGACACTTATCATTAAAACCAGACACAAGGGTAGGGTTTTAAAACGTTAGTAAAGTTGTTTCTTATTTCCAATTTTCCTTCGGAAAGTAAACGGAATCACAGTGCCTTGGCAGTAGTGGTGAAAACGTGGGATGAAATTAACTCCTTCAAATGGGAGGAACGTTAACGGTGATTCAGAAGCGTGCGTTTTGGACTGGTGAAGGAAGACTAAGTGTGCAAGCGCAAGGCTCAATAAATGATATGCAGGCCTGAGATGGGCCCGAAACTGTCAATAAGACACCCCGTTTTCCTCCTACTGCAAATCAGGAAACACTTTTGGAGTTTGACAGTTTCTCATTTGCATTTTAAGAATTAAAGGTCTTATTAAAGGATTAATAATCCTTCCTTGACCATGGCGTGATAAAATACAAAAATCCGATTTTTGTTTCCTTTCTTAAACGCCATCTTAAGGCTAACGCCGAATGCTTATTTGAATACAGTCTGTTTCTCGGGACATTTCATAATTAGCAGAAAGATGTGTTTACAGAAGCTGTCTGTTCACCTTCCTTAAAAGGATTGATTTTGTCTTTTTTCTAGTGGCATTTGCTAGAAGTCAAGTACCATGACTCTTTAGCATCCGATTTCCTTTCGAATCTCTATCACTTTCTACGAGTAGATCCGCGGCACAAATCTGAGTCAAGGCCTCCGATACGACATTGAGCATGAGAAACGCCGGAAGCAGCAGTTGAACCTCCTCTACGGTCGCAGCAAGGACGAGGTGGAGGAGGAGGAACGTCTCATAGGCGAACTTGAACGCATTGAGGCGCGTCGAAGAGAGCGTGAGAGGAAGAAACAGGACCTTCAGAAACTCATCTCTCAGGTAAGGTATTGTTTTCCTATCATCCCCTTTCCCGGCAAATTTGATCGGTTAACTGTTTCCTGGAATAATACCTTAATAGGTCTCTGATTGAATGATCGGGTGCTTAGGCGACCTTTCTGCTGAGGCACATTGGGAGATGTTTTAATCTTTGAAAATTTTGAGTGGTTATAAATATTATGGATCACTCTCATCGGTTGCTCAGATTGTTTTTTTTTATCAAAGCCAGTCAATGGAAGCTTTTTTAGCTCATGAGGCTTCCTATTGGTCATCGGTCCTTTTAAGCTAGTTTTGAATATTCTTTTGCTTTACCTATTTTATACGGGCTACATATAAAGACCCTGTATCGGAAATAGCTCCGTCAATGGCCTCGTTATCGAATCTCATAGCGGAGGTGGTATCACAAGGGC